GTTGTGGCCCTCAGTCCAAGAAAATACACAAGGTAATAGCTGCCAAAGGCAAAGGGTGCCTTGTTGGCAAAGCTATGCAGATCTATGGCCAGCAGCCTGATCTCAGCTATTATAAACATGGATCTGATAAACGTTTATAAATATCTATAGGGAGATCAGAGGCAAATGGATGAGGCCAGGCTCTTCTCAGAGGTGTGTAGCAATAAGACAAGGAGCAATGGCCTAAACTTGGACACAGAATGTTCTGTACTAATGTGCGGAAGAATTTTTATACAGTGGGTGACAGAGCTCTGGAACAGGCTGCCCAGAGAAGTTGTGGAGTTTCCTACAGAGACGTTCAAGACCTGTCTGAATACCTACCTGTGCAACCTATCATAGGGTACTTGCCTTGACAGGGGGTCAGACTCAGTGACCCCTTGAGGTCCCTTCCAGCCACCGCGATTCTGTGATTAGCAGACTTTGTTAGTACTTAATATCCCTAAGATCTCTGCAAGAATAGGACTTACTATGTACATTCCTTGAGTTGATGCACCTTTATCCAATTTAAGGAATTATAAGCAGAGTTTGAGGCTCAAGTGGGACTGATTGCACAGTGCCTGACATCTCAGCCATTGCAGGCTTTGGCAGCATTTTTCTGCAAGCCCCTGGTAGCAATCCTAAACGGGCAGTCATAATGGATACCCTGAATATGCAACTCCTGGCAGACTGCAGAGGAGCAGAAGGCAGGAACATGCACCTGGGAGAGCCAACAGGGTGCAGAGCACTGGTGTGTGTGGAACATGATGGACTCCCTTAGCCAGGGCTCTGCAAGTCAAAGATCAGTGGGTGAGCTGGAAGTCATTTGTCCAATGCCAGCCTGAAGTTGCTCTGGAATAACTGATCTTCTGTTAAAGGTCACCTAATTGACAGCCTTTTGTCAGCCCTCCCATTTGCTCATCCCAGCTGTTTCCAGTCAGAGCCTTCTCACACCAGTGTGTTGGGAAAGTGGCCTTGCATCTCCATTGAGGTTTGGATTAGTGGACTCAGGCATCTGCCTGGGCTTGGATTTATGGCCAGGGCAGAGGAGTTGAGTGCCTCAGTAACAAATCCACATATCCTGGTGTGATGCTCTTCTCTCCAGCGATGGGAGCTGATGTGGGGTCAATGATGTGCATTTGGGGTGAGTCCTGAGCTGCATCCCACTGCGATTTGTTAGCCAGAAGCCAAACCCCTTTACAGAGATCTGTCCCAAAGTCAGTTGTTGTCTGATCCTGGAGGAGCTGAACCAGATTCAGTCTTAGGCACACAGATTCAATTATCAGCCTGCAGAGCGCTGCTCTCCCCAGCAGATTTAAACCCTCAATAGTTTTCTCTCATACAAATGCACATCAGGTGTCTCATCGCGCCTGATAAATGGATCCTACTGCCCCATATTCTGCAATAAGGAATTGCAGGAAATGACCCTGGCAGGTTGCCTGGGAGGTTTCTTAGAGCAGGACTGCTGTCTCCCTCTGAGCTGCTGTGTGCTGCCTCTCGCTGGAGACTGCAACTCAATAAGCTTGCTGCAGCTGGCACCAATGTGGAGACTGTTGTGCATACAAGCAAACCGCTCACTCCCCAGGGGGTTTGGCTGTGGTTATGAGTGTGGAATTTGCACTGTGTTTCCATAGAGCTTCATATTAAATTTTTACATCCAGAGGGTCAGAACTGGCACGCAGTCCCTCACCGTGCCAATTCACAAATCGATTGGTACACAGATCAATATGCCACTGCTTAAGTATAATTTGGATAAGGCCCTGGGCACCCTGATCCAGTTGTGCTGTTCATTGCAGGGGATTTAGAGCCTCAGAGGTCCTTTTCAACTCTAAGAAATCTGTTACTCCATGAATGTTTTTCAGCATTTTGAAAAGTGAAAGTGTGAGTGACCACACCTTATTTTCAAGGAGGAGAATTTCAAGGAGGAGTAAAGGGCCCATGTTCTGAATGAGGCATCCTTCTACCATCACTCTTCATTCCACCAAACCTTTTAGAAAAAGGAGCATAAACATAACCATCACTGGAATTATCAACATTTACCTTCTTCCTATGGACTGCTTGGACTCAATGTAAAATAGTTCTTTACAGCATTATTCATCCCAGAATTGATACGTGGGCTTCTTTGATTTACAAATAGAAGAAAATTCACTTCACGTTTAAGTGAAAAAAATCCATTATTTTATTCAGTACAAATTGAAATTGAAAAAAGTCTGGCTTGCGTGATCTGGGAACGTGGCAATTTACAAGCAAGTTGTCTTCTTTCTTTAAATAGAATGGAAGCAGCAAGCCTGCATGACAACTGGAACATTAATCACACCCAAAGCACTACAAAATGAAGAATTTTAAGCTACAAGCAAGGCTGCTGCCAGCTCTCATCATGACAGCAAGGCACTGGGGAAAGGCCTTTGGCTTTCCCCTATGCTCAGTGTCGCTCTGCATTGAGGCAGCTCCTGTGCGTGTGCAGTGACCCATGTGTGCTCCTCCTGCTGCTGGCCGGAGAGGAATCGATCTCTATCCTTCTGCACCTATAGCTGCTTATGGCACGTTAGTGGGGGCATCACCTCAGAACAACAGCGGGGCCATCTGCTTATCTGACACGACTCGCAGCACATTTACGAGGCGTTTCAAGAGGACAGCTTTCTAAAGCATCACACTGATTTTTGGCTACAAGGCAGATAAGCACGGTCAGCTGGTGTTTGGGATGTCCCACCTCACATTTCCCAAACACCCACTTAGCGTGCAGCAAAGACCAGACCCGAGGAATAAATAGAACAGCAAAGACGTATGCTTACATCAGCGAGATCGATAAAGGCAGAGCACCAGCTTCCATTGAACATCCACGGAAGAACTCCAAGCTTAGCTTTCCTTATGACTGCATTTTGATTACAGGTATGTTGTTTCCGTGCTTTTTTTGTACTGGGCCCACTGTATGAGCGTCACAAGGACCATTAAGTTAAGGCAGAAAAATTTGTGTCATGGAGAGGTACCTGAGAAAGTCACTGTTTGAAAAGAGGTCTCTGAGTATCACTGCTATTTGTTTCAAGCATCCTTTTTTAGAGCTTCTGGAATAGGCTGCCACTGCTGTCTTGACCTCAAGCTCAGTTCTGAGCTGTTTTAGTTCAAACAAAACACTTGGACAGCCAGAAAGACTGCAATTCTACAGAAGCAGATGGAATGTAGCAGAAATGGTTACTACCATTTAGTCTTTAAAAGTAGTTTATATCATGAGCGCTGACCAGTAAGAAGGTGAGAATATGTAGAGGGCTGGCCGAGTTGTGGTTGTGTTAACTACCATTGACTGATCCAAATTCAGACAAGTTCCCTCCATTATTTCCATACGTAGGGCCATACGTACTTTATCAACACTGTAACACCCTACAAACAATTACTTCCACAGCTGTATTTTCAGGAAGAGAATGGAACAAGGTTGATGCAGCTTTGTCCCTCAACCACATGGGGTGGGGTGGGGTGTGAGAGGGAGTACAGGAAAAGCAAAACAAAGTAATATTGACTCCTTTGCTCTGATGATAGTTCATAAACCATGAATTCAAGAGAACTCCTTAACATAAGCTCACAGAAGAGCAGGCAGAGCAAGAAAGATGCAATTGATCTCAAGCAAATGAGTCAGACACCCTTCACTCCCTTTCTACACATCCAGCTGCAAAACTCCTAGCTTCTCCTTAGCAGTAATCACAGCTCTGCAGCCAAATTTGCAATGGAAAAAGGGTATGGAGGCCTTAAAGAAGCTGAATACAAACCAAAGGGGCTCCTGTAGTGACTGTGTCGTCCAGTTGTACATCTAATGAAAAATTCCATTTGTTTAGAGGTGTAGCTGCTGAAGAACTGCAGACTGCCACAAACCCCAGAACATCTGCCTGGACTGCCACAGCATACACTGTGCCTCCCCTAGACGCCCTGCCAGCATCATGCTGGCTTGCAAGAACACTGTTTAAATCCACACATACATAGAAGTTTTGGAGTAGCACAGAATTGACTATTTCAGGCTTGTGAGATGGCTCAGTTGAGATATTTTTCCAATACTAAATGGTTACTTGTTTGTTTACCAACAAGAAATGGTATGGCAGTGAAGGCAAGGTGTGATCTGTTTAAATTAATGACAGGTAAATGGAAAAATAACAATTACATGTTAGTCTCTTGCAAGCAGTAGGAAAAAACCAGAAGGTTCCAAATTGCAGGCTATTACTAAACCCACCACCCCTATCTTAACAGGCTAAGGAAGGGCATCTAACAAAATCACCCACCTAGCTATTAAAGAAAGAGCAATGTTACCAAGAACAGTTGGCTAAATATGCAGAACTACATTCTCTAGTTAGAGTTTATTGCAAAACCAGAAAAGAGACAGCAAAGTTGAAGTCTAGCATTCGTTGCAGATTTGTACCGCTTGTCCCAGTTTCAGCCACTCGCACGTACGCGCTCACACACACGCTGTACACAGAGAGCTGCTAACACATTTCAGTTCCCACAGTCTCACAAGCAACCTGAAAACATTTCAGTAGAAAGTTAAAATGAGGTCTCTTACCACAAGGACTATAAAATCCCCCCCACCCCCCACTACCGTAGAATTTCTAAGTTTTGGATACTAAAAACCATACATAAAAAGGAAGAGCTATTTTCAGTAGCACAAAGACCACCTTAAACTTACCGAAATCAGTCTAAAGAGCGACTGAAAAAGAATGAAATGAAGACCTGCATCATACACCATCAGTGTTTGCATTAACACTGTTGACTAGCTCTAAGTCTCTAACCGTAGGAGAGTCGCTTGTTTCTGATTTACTTCTAAGTTTCAAGTTACATAAAAAACAGTTGTAGCAATGCCTCTGAGCTGCACTTTTGTGAGAAAAAGTCCCTTTCAAAATTTCAATAAATATAATGACATCTAAAGTTAGCTGAGGTTGTCATGCAAGACAAGTTACATAACCAAGACCAACTCAATCTTTATAATAAAGGCAACTTGCATTCAAAAATGAACTTTACCCTTACCATTTTATTCAAAGGGTAAACATGAATTAACCCAGCTGTTTACCTGAATTACAAAAGTAACATGATTCAATATGAAAATAAGAAACTGTCTACAAATCTCTGACAGTAATAAATTGCAATATACAATGCATACAGGAGTTATACAGAGCAACAAACTCTTGTACAAAACAAAAATACTTTAATACCTTTAAAATCCAATTTGCTTCTTTAAAATTATTCATGAAAAAGATTTGAGTCTGAATTCATACCTCAATTAGTCAAGCTTCAGGTAGCTACATTACAGCTATTTAATATACAAAGAGAGAAATCTCTTCACCAGTCATTAAAACTGTCTTTTCATTAGAGTTGCACAGCTTCTGCATCTCGCGTTCCCAGATCCAAAGTTTTCTTCAAATCATGAGAACTGAATTTGCTGAACACCGGAGATCTGGAGAAAGAAAATGGAAGCTTACATTCAACTTCACACGTTTTGAAACAGCATCACCATCGGCAGCCTTGAGTTGTCAGAGCACTGGGATGGCACAACAGCCGCCAAAGTACTAAAAATATCATCAGTTTTTGCCTTTCAGAGGAAGGCAGCTGAGTTAGCATTTGAATTTTTGCAGCAGAAGGGAGAACAGATGACAGGACACTGTACCTGCTGATACGATGTTGTATAGACCATAACATTCTGCTGCTGGCCGTCTGTAGTTATTAAGCCCGCTGGCAACTGATTAGCTGAAAGAAAAAGCATTTTAAGGAAGTTAGACAAGAACCACGGGATACATGGAGCCCTGTTTGAGGTGTGTATTACCTACAAAACATTTAGTTGTGGCATGCTCTGGGTCTGTGGAACAGTTCCTCTCATGACAGCTACATCACCAAGCTCATTACCACTGCTACATATCTCCATCAGCAGTTCAGAACCTAAATTCACCTGGATTTTGCATCGGATAAGCTAGAAGTAAGACACGAATGTGAGGTAGAACATACGCAGCAGCACAATGAGGACTGGATTTTGCCATCTGACCATCAAAAAAAAAAAACCCAATCTCCAACATTCAATACTCTAAGAAATCTGGAGAATTTGGAGTTTGTTTAGACATAAGATTTAGCACTTGAGTTCCTCGTGCATGTGTATGCTCAGGGAAAAAGCGGTACTTCTTTATAAAAGCTCTAACGTGGAGGCAGTTGACATTGTGCTGCATGACTTCAGCGTGCCTTTCAGGTTATCTCTGAATTTTACAGAGGAAAGATGAGGCCAATGAACCGAGTAAAAAGTACTTCTGACATTTATAAAGAAAATTCAGGGATGATGCCCTAAGCCAAACCCCTACAGTAATGCATAACGGTAAGCTCTGTGACATTCAGAGTAACTACGTGCTGCAAGTGTTAGCTGGAAGTAAAGCTTCCAAGTCGTAAGTTAAGTTGTTATACAGCATAGCACTCTGTACAAGAGGCAAAACCCATAAAAATATCAAAACAGTGTAATCCTAACAGCTTCAATACAAAAGCTGAAGCTTGTTTTTGCTTTCCTTCATCGTACTAACTTTCAGACGCTTAAGTTGGCAAGTTAACTGAGGCTTTAAAGATCTCCACAGATCTAGACAGATTTAAAATCACAGCACCCTCCACCACATATGTTGAACAGCTTAATGCCAGCTCTCTGACCCAGATGTGGTGCAGATCTACAAGGAAGAACTACAGGCTATGCTGCAGCAGCACAGCTATTACTGCTGCTGCCGCGAGACCACAGCCCTGAAGGGATCCAGAGCTGCGCCCCTACAGAGAAGAAATGCCCGCAGCACGTGACACCATCACTCACTTCAAAGAAATCCCTCTCCCTGCCTTTCTGCTACTGCAACATCTCCCTGGGCATCCTGCCAACACTGACTGTTCTCTTCCAAAGCTGCTCTCTTCAAATCACAGCAAATTAATGCTTATTTCATAGGGCACTCTGAGCCTCCCAGGCCTGGGCTATTTGAAAAAGGGACAAGGAACAGATCTCCAGCCTTCTGCCACTTAATGGTATAATAATAATAATAATACAGTATCAGATTTGTTGGGACAGATGATCCACAGATGGAATAGTAATCTTTTTTTCAGTTGTACAATTCTGTGTGTGTGTGTGTGTGTGTGTGTGTGTGTGTGTGTGAGAGAGAGAGAGAGAGAGAGAGAGAAAACAGACCACAAGCATCTCAGCTGCAGTTCAGGTTAATGAATTGGGCCTAATTCATGCCTTACCACTTCTGAACCAAAAGAGCTATTCCGTAAGACAATGCAGATAAAGATTAGGAAATCCAAATAGCAAACTCTTAATTGTAAATTAAAAGAATGAAACCCACATAACAAACAAACAAAAAAATCTTACATCTGTCATTACAATCCATGCTTAAGTATAGAGGAAAATACTGGCACTAACGTATGTGTGCTTAGAAGTCTCCCACAGTTGACAGGAGTTACTACTACTGTGTCAGTATTTCCCACCATCTTCATTTTGATATAAATTCTGACTGGGATAAGTCAGAAAAGCAGAGGGTATCCTCCAGACTTCTCAAATGGAAGTCTCAGAGGATCATGGATACAACACAAGTGGCCCAGAATCTCTTCCTTGGTTAAGAATTATCATGCCCTAAAGGACGCATTGTTTTAGAAGATTCGTAACGATAACGAAAACAACTAAAGAGTATTACTTACTAAATGCTTCTTCTGTGAGCTCCTCACTTAAACCATCTCCAGTTGTAACTGTTCCCCCAATTCCCTTTTCTCCTTTCATTGCCTGGACAGAAGAAAAATGGGTATCCACATTAGTGCATTCTTGGCACGAGACGGCTTGCAGAATCCAAGGTTTGGAAGTTGAGCTGGACTTTGAAATCCAAGACCTACAAAACTTGTGTTTAAGACTGTGCATTATACAAGAACAGGTAAAGGGCATTTTTTTTTAATCTTAGTCATACTCCTCAGAAGCCAAAACTGCGAAATTAGTATTGTGTAGTTCTAGAAGTTTACTTCTGCACAAAGTCAGAGATGTGCAACAATCCAGAAGCAGCAGCTAGCACGTGTATATGGAATCACAGTCTCAGAACCAGTGAGCGCACAACCTTTGCCCACCAACCATATTCAAGTGCCATCATCATACAGCAAAGGGTTGACTTTTAAAACCAAGATTTGGATTTCTTCCCCTACAGCAAGGACTGCAGCCACAAAGGATATCAGCACAGAAAGCCAAGGCTCCCAGTCATCTGTGTGCAGTTCTTTAATTATGAAGTTTGATGATCTGTACTATTACATAAGAACCTGCAGGAAAAAACACTAAAAACATATTAAAAAAAAAAAAAAAAAATCTGTGCAACTGTTTGATGTAGAACAAACATAAAAGCTACAAAACAGAAACCTTCATGGAGTACCTGACAGAATACAGAATGAAGGCTTAAAACTGATGGCCAGAACTGTCCAAGGCACCCAAAACCATTTAAAAAAGTAATCACAATACTCTGCTACCATGGCATACACATCTGCAAAAGATGGACATTTCAGAAGAAGAGCAGAATAGATCCACTTCAGACTTCTCCAGAAGTACCACAACTAGATAGGCATCACTTGCTTTAATTAAAGCACATGCCTGTGCCATCAAAAGTGTTGTTACTGCTATATGGAAGTGGGAAAAGACAGCAGACAGCCGTGCTTCAATTTTTAGATTTCACCTCCTGTTACTCACAGTCCATCATAACAAATGACCTCCTGGGAAGTGGAAGCTTCAAGTGCTATCAGCAAATTAAATACTGCTAGTGTGCCTAACCCTGTTAATTGAAAAAACTTGGATTTACAGAACAGACAACATCTGAAGAGCATCTCTTCCTACAGCAGTGCCAATTCAGACCTCCCTGCTTCACTCATGCCAGTGAAGCCTCTTTCCATGATCATTTTGACCCTGAACAATTTCTTCATTCAAGATTTAAGGAAGAGAGGTCATCGGATGAAAATGCCTTTGATTTGTTTGATTACAACTTGTACTTTGAAGTAGATAGAATATAGAATAAAGAAGTAAAACTTTCTTTAGTCTCCAGGTAGGAGGAAGTGGGAAAAAAAAATCCCAATTAAATTGCTGAAAGGGGGAAAAAAAGCCATTTTCTGCTAGAGAAAAGATAAAGGAAAATGCCTCGGCATACCTAGCAGATACAAAGTATCGAAAGCAAATTAGCAGACAAGCAGTAACAAAGAGCAAATTGGAATACCACTGTAATAAATAGTCCTTCATTCAAATCATTATTCCGACATGAGAAAAAAAATCTTTTTCAGATCCAAAGCCCAAAGAGCGGGCATTAGGCCAGATCCTCAGAGGATGCCATCCAATACAGTTTTATGGATAGAACCCAAAGATCAAATTCAGTATTCTGAAAGGTGCTTTTAAAGAATTTAGTGCTTTACTTCCATATATATTACAGAAGTTACTCGGAGGAAGCTTTAACTACTTTGAATCAGCAAGTCTAATCAAAATGCTTGCTTATTCTTTTCTCCTGAGAGCTTCTGAAACGTTTTAAAATGCTACATTAGTCCCCATTATTCCCTGACAATTACTGTGAGATACAGTGCAAGTCAGCCATTACAGAAATCCAATAAAGGGCTCAGAATAAAAAGTCAGGATAAAAAAAAAAAAACTCAGAATAAAAAAATCAGGACAAATAAATGAGGAAACATTAAAGTATAGACCAACCTCTCTGAATTTTTGGAGGTATAACTTCAGAGGCTCAACATAGCTATCAAATCCCAAGGTAGACATGGCAAAGAGAATATCCTCCCCGTTGATGGTCTTTCTTTTCTCTTGGTGACACCTCTCACTTGCTTCTGACGTTATAAAGCTGATGAATTCACTTACACACTCTTGCACACATTCTTTTGCATCCTTAGCAATCTAGAGAGGAAAAGCATCATAAAATGATGAACATCTGAGAAAACTAAAAATAAATAATAATAATAAAAAAACCAAGAAGGTTAGATAGTAATAGATAATAAAGGAAGCATCCCACCATCGGGTGATGCTGCCATTTAGGTATGTATGTGAGATAGCCACTGGATGTCATCGCTACTCTATGTAAGCACAGCTGTAATGGTTTTAAATGAAGCTTCACTATTTCAGCACAACTGTCAGCATTTTCTGAACTCATAATTGTGCTCTGTATAAAGTTTCATATATACAGGTACATATCAATATTGTGCCTGGATTTGCTTACCCACTCCTTCAAATCTGCTCATTACAAAGTCACAGCCCACTTACATCTTCCTCTCAGTAGACCAACAGTTCCAACCCACTGCAGCACATTCTCACCAACCTGACCATGATGAGGTTTTTTTACCCTGACTGAATTCAGGGACTGAAATACATGCCTAGCAGCAAGCTCCTCTAGTGCTTTAATATTCCTGTATAAATTTGCCAAATGAGAATTCAGCTGAAGAAACACAACATGCCTCTGGCAAGAATGAAATAAATATATTTGATTCTGCTTTTCAGCTGGACAAAGTAATTTGCCTCACTTAAAATAACAGCAAGCATTGCTCAAGATTATTAGGGAAGCTGACAGGAGCCAACTGAAGGATTATAATAATTAAGATCCTTATTCTTCACATGAGAAGAACCTGTTTGTATTCCCCTTAAATAACGAAGTGGTAACTATGCAGGATCTTCAATTCCTCTGATATTTTCAGAGGAATAGAGCCAGATTTTCAGAAATACTCATCAGCCAACAGCTTCCCTTGCAGCTTTTCACAAAGACCTCCCTGATTTTTTCAAGAGAGCTTGGCATCCCATATGCTGAATTCTTGAGAAAAATCTCATCTTGATTGCTAAAAATTTATGACAATATGGACCAGTGAAGAATTTTTCACAGCAAAGATAAAAATGTAACACCCAGATTTCCAGAAAGATCTGAACACTGTGAAAGTATGAGCAGATGCAAGAAAATTATGCCTTGCTTCTATTTGAAGGAATGTAAAAAAAAAAAAAAAATTCAGCCTTAGCTAGGAGTTAAAGCAGCAAGTAATAGGAGCCCCGCAAAGTTTTAACATAAACAGGTAGAACATTTAAATGCTTATCCTGTTGCCAGCTCAGAATTGATTTAAGAGTCTATTCTTAGAAGAAAGAAATAAAATAAGTCTTCCGATACCTGGCCTGCTTGCTATGTGGCACAAAGCAGGCTCTTAGTCTGCTATTGCCTGAATATCCATATCCAAATGCTAAAATGACCTGAGTGTTCTCTTTCCTTCAGGAAGAGAAATGGATTCTTATTTCATCCAAAAAGTTCCACTTATTCCACATTTGAAACAAGTCAAAGCAGAAAGTTACTTCTTTTAGGACATAATTCCATAGAAAAAGTTCTTAGTGATGTGGGATTGTCACCAAGTTTGACCCGTTGACAACATCAGGGAAAAGATCTATGAAAAATAATGCCCTTGAAAGCCCTATAGGAGCCCTGTTGCAGCCCCTGTAATTAGGGAAATTACTAAAAGCTTTCTGAAACCTAAAAAAAAAAAAAAAAGAAAAGAAAAAAAAGAAAAGAAAAAAAAGAAAAGAAAAAAAAGAAAAGAAAAAAAAGAAAAGAAAAAAAAGAAAAGAAAAAAAAGAAAAGAAAAAAAAGAAAAGAAAAAAAAGAAAAGAAAAAAAAGAAAAGAAAAAAAAGAAAAAAAAGAAAAGAAAAAAAAGAAAAGAAAAAAAAGAAAAAAAAGAAAAGAAAAAAAAGAAAAGAAAAAAAAGAAAAGAAAAAAAAGAAAAGAAAAAAAAGAAAGGAAAAAAAAGAAAAGAAAAAAAAGAAAAGAAAAAAAAGAAAAGAAAAAAAAGAAAAGAAAAAAAAGAGAAAAGATTTGATCTCAACTGCCCCCTGTCCAGAAGATGCAGCTCTGCCAGCTTCAGTTCACTCAGAGAAAGGAACAAAACTCAATACTAGATTTTGTTTAAAGATGAGAGTATTACCTTTCCTGTTTGGGGTATGGCGTTTTTCATTATCCTTGCCACATTTGCAATTGGAAGATAGATATCTTGTTCTCTAAAGCTCTCTTTTGAACCATTTGTATCTTCATGATCATTCATGCTGTCCTCTGTGTCTGAAGAAGTTAACAGAAATTGTATTTGATAGATAACAGGCAATAAGTCAAGTTGAAAATCTTAAACTTTTTTAAACTAAAGATTAAACTTTTTTAAACTAAAGATTAATGACTTTTGAAAGCCCACCGTATTAATAATGTAGAAATAACTAAAATGAAAACAAAAAAAACCCAAACCCACAGATGATAGATGTAATACCACAGTACCTTCATGTGTGTTTGGCACCATACTTATCTCATTATACACAGAAATGTCATGTCAAAACAAAAACTCTTTCCTAGAAAGGCAAGGTTTTTGTCATCACCCCCAGGGACTCAGTAGCAACACTGATAACTCCCAAAGTTGCCTTTAGACTGCAGGAAAAATGCTTTATGCAGTAAGGCATCATAATGGATGCCTTACTGGATGAAGCCTTAATGGATTCATAAATACAAACAATTATCAATTCTTAGCTTGGAAATGATAGCAGAGAACTTCACAAGAACTCAAATGAAATTACATAGAGGCAAAAATAATAATATTTACATTTCTTACCATCATGAGGCTGTATCACATAGTGACTGCCACCAATGTAATCTCCAGCAATTCCTAACTGAGAAGCATCCGTCGTGGAGCTATCACCATCCATCTAAAAACAGAAGAAGCAATGCTTTCAGGTACATTTGTTATAAGCTAAGAGCAGCTACAGCTGGAAAACAGCACTTAATAAACCTACAACTACGAGAACCAATTGTTACAGCCTGAATATTTTGCAATTTGAGAACTCTCATAGTTGCTGCACTTTACTAATTGCTTTGATTTGTTCCTTCAGATGCAACACACCGAAGAGCAATTCTTGCAGCTATTTCTCATTCATACAAAAAAGCTAAGTTAAATAACTTAGCTAAAGAGAGGTAGCTTCATGTATTCCATTTAAAACAAAGGTTAGCACTTCCTAATAGCAGTTTCGGTTTTAATTTGTGGGGTTTTTCTTTTTCTTTTTAATGACAACCTATAGCCCATCCCCAGGTCAGGCATGGCCCCAGGGCCAAGCATCTTTATGAATGAAAAAGCAAAATCCCAGGCAATCAGATTAAACAGCAACATCATGAATTTGAACAACCTTGACTTTTTTCTCGTTGACGCCTTGAAAAATAAACTTTTGCAGAGCATTTAGTTCCCATAAATCTCAAATATCACTTTCCTGTTTTTGTTTTCACCTGTGTAAGACTGTAATGACGCTGTTTCTGGAGAGCAGAAGCAATGCAAAAAAAACCCCAACAACTCAAGGGGCTCCCAGCATGTGCAGAATTCTTTCTACAATGGCTCAGAAACCTAGGGATATTTTTGAGCACCTTTCCATGCACAGTATCTTCACCTTCAGTATCTTTCCTTCACCTCAGACTTTCTTGGCTGTGGATGCCACACACTTCTGATAACATTTTGCTCTTTACCTGCTCACTCTGTCATCCCCATTCTATGCCCTGAAAGGCAGCAGAGGAAGGGAGGGAGGAAGGCATTTGACTGTGCTGTGGTCACTGCCAACAAGAGCCTGCAGCTCCCATTGGCCTACAAGAGGGTGAGGGTGAGACAGTCCTGTGCTATTTTTACACCTCCCAGAAATATGAGAAACCAAACCTCTCTCAAATCTGAGCTCTGAGGCTGCAAGGGCTGAGGTTTTGCTTACAAATGTTGAAGCAACATCCGGTGCCATGCTCAGCCACAGACACACGTGAAACCTGAGCGCTGCAGGCATTCACAGCAGCATTACATAGCTGGATGCAGCCGTAGGAGCTGGTTAAAGGAAGAACTCTTCTACCTCTTCTCCAGTGCACAGCACTGCCCACTGCTTCCTGTAAAGTACTTCTGATCCTTTCCAATGGGCTTTAAAACAGTTTCATTTCACACACAGCAGCTCTATCTGAAGAAGGGCAGCGCCTTAAGCTTTACCTTCCTCATGCCAGGTGTCACAGCAGACTGCTTTGTCTGTGTGCTGCAGGCTCTTTGTAAGAAGACTTCACTTCTCAATTTCCCAGCGTCCAGAGTTTGCTTACTCAGCTCACTGTAACAACTGTGAAAAGGTTCCTCAATCCTGAGCATCCAGAACACCAAAACTGATTTTGCCTTTCCTCAGAACAGCCATGCCACTCTTTTCCTTCTGTAATTCAAATTGGTTATGTTCTGTAGTCTGCTAAATCCCAAAAGCCGATTCCAAAATTAATTTGGGATTTTCTGGTAGTCTTGTTCCCAGAGCTCAGTTTCAGCTTTGGTCCCTGTTCAAATTTAACTCAGAATTATGGACTCCACAAATCCTAAGCATGAAACTCATTCAGTCCCAGTTCTAGCTGAAATGCCTTGAGGTTCCCCCACAGCCTTTTATGAAGCGTGCCTTTCAAGGTACTATGATGGGATAGCTCTGCTTCCACCCGCCCATTCTGCAAGCTGCCCTCCCCCCATCCTCATAGCCAAGTCCCAGTAACATTGCTTAGGAAACTCCCATTGCTTTCATCAGCTCTACTCTCCTTCAAAGGACAATTCTTGTTTGAATCTCTTCTCAAAGCCCACTGCATCTCTTGGCACTTTTGACCTCATTAGATTAATGCATTTTTCAGGTACCATTTTTGCTTTTTTTCTCTTGTGTCCACATTTCCATTTTTACTTACATGTCACCTGATAATTAGCAAGGTTTTTTTTGTGTGTGTGTGGAATCTTATCACCATTGCAAATCAAAGCCAGCAATTAGATCAGCAGAACTGAAAGGAAAAGGCTTGCACAAAAGAAACAGGTAGATCTATCCCAGATAAAGCAAACAGACACTGGTAGCCTTATACATACTGAAATTATTTCCGTGGTTAGACTGCAGGAAAGGTTTTTAAGACAACCACAGCACAGTGGTTGGATGGACAGTGTAACACCTTTCTGCACAGCCAAGTCCCTAATGCAGGAGCACAAGATAATTCAGTTATCTCACAGTGAATACAATTACCTGTGCAGGTATTACAGGTTCAGCTTCAGATGGTCAGAACTCAAGAAGACACTTGGATCACCACTTATTTAACAGCCTGCTCAAGCCAGTGCCCACAGTACATAACCACATAATCTAACGCTGAGAAAATACTGCTTGAAGTACAACATTTCTAATTAATTGCCTTTTTAAAAAGGAAAAGCTCTCAGTATCACTGGACTTGCTCTAAGAAAACGCTGAGAATCACAGAATCATTTAGTTAGGAAAGAGCCTTCAGATCATCAAGGCCAACCATGCATTCTGCCTGTCCCTGGTACCTCTAATGAAGGAGACCGTTACTAGGAAGATACAAATTAACAGCTCAGGGAAAGTAACACCAGAAATATTTTGAAAGGGAAACACTTCAGATCAAAGACATCAAAGAAAACTCAATGATGAGTGAAAGTGAGTGCATGTACAGTTTTACACTACCATCTCGTAGGAAGTCTTCTGGAGGATGCTTACAAAAAAAAAAAAAATGCTTCTGTCAGCAGCCCACAACTCACACCGTTCCTAGAATACATCTACACAGAACTGATAAATCCTCACTACCCTGAAGTAAATCTTGCATCCTGCTTAATCTAAAAAGCTCTCCTAAAGAGCAGTATCTGTGGCTCTGCTAAAGGGTAACTGCAACAATGCAACCCTGAGCTGCTTTTGCTGAGAGGATGGGTCTGATGCTTTCATCAGCATACAAGGGAAAAATGGAATAAAAGCTAGAAAGAGCTTGTCTTCAGAATTACCTGACAAAAATTAGTCTGCAAAATTGGTCTCTCAAGGGAAACCATGTACCTCTTTGGCTCTAAGCACCATTCAGTATTTATACAGCTCATCCCTCTCTCAAACTGCTACTTCAAATGAAGGACAGAAGAAAATTCTATGCCACAGACTGAAGAATGAGGTACCTTCTTTGTAGCTGCCATGGAAGCAGGACAGATAAGGTAACTAAAGGTATAGGCAGTTAACTATATCAGCCACAGTAGTTTTATTTTGCCACCTGCCCATAGCATAGAAGATGTAAACCTGAAAAGCAGCACATGACATCCAGTGGGGACAACAAGGTTTTATCTGAGCTTTCTGCACCCTCACTCGCTGTACCTACAGAGAAAATTTCTGATTGAAAAACACAGTATTAATTCCCTTTTATTGCCACTGATTTCTGATGAACCAAATCTCCACTGAATTCTCACCTGGCAGCAAAGCCTCCCACAGCAGGAAATGCTGCCTGGTAAATGCACCCACGGGCACAGGGCATCACTCCAGCACATCCGCAGAAATGTAAAGCTAAAACCCCTTGGCACATGCCTAGAACACAAACAGATGCCACCCTGCCTCTCCCAATCTCCAGCTCCTCTAATCTCTCAACACAACGTTTTCCCCAACAGCAGAAAGGCATCAGGAACAGCAGATTGATGCTGAGAGGACCTGACAGCTTCACTAACACTCACTGGCATCCAGGCTGTATTGGGTTCCTTCCCCTGGACTGCTGTGAGAAAATCTCTCCCTTCCAAAGCCCAGCAGGGCCCACCCAACCCTTCCACATTCCCACATCCATCAGTATTACCAGCAGTAATGTCACACCATGGCCTATCTCACCAGTCCTACTGTCCTGGGCCACGAGTTGGTGCTTTTGCAGGAGCTGAACAAGGCGGCAGCACTGAAAGGACTCAGCCTCAGCAGCTCCTTCCTGCTGCAGCACTGACTGTAAGCACTATGCTGTGTTTCCATATGGGGTTTTTGGTGTTTCCCTAGCATCTTAGGTGAAAAACTAAGCTTATCTGTTTATTAAAGCAGCAAACCCTGTCTTTTTCATTGGTGAACTGGTTATGCTTTTCCTTCACTGTGGCAATATGTCAGTTAAGTGTTGAGAAGTTTCTCCATCTCCAGCTGCAGGACCAGGAGGAGTTTATACAAAGCTGGTTCAGGACAGACGACTATTTTCAGCAGAATCCTCAGACTTGCTAATGATTTCTTTTCTACTATCAACATCACTTATAAAGGTTGTTCCACACATGCATACACTGTGACCGCTTGCATGTTTTCCCAGCATCATGGCACTAAAACATCATTTTCCAAATTCCATATTTCTCTGACGTACTGTATCAAAAATCACACCTGAAAAGCCAAGTTTAAAGCATCAGCTGAAGAGAGCCTTGCAAGCTTCCTTCTTTTCCTTCTCCCCCATTTTTTTGACAAACAAAAACAGATATGACTACCAAACAGTTATAAAGCATTTCATGTTTTGAATCTTCAAGTATTCTGGATCTCCCTCCTGCCTCCAAAAATAAAGAGCTCTGCACACTGTCTCCCTTCACATAATCATTACTACAAATAAGAGGTTCTGTACTGAACTTTGAACTGCTGTAACTGTCAAATATTAAAGCCTGAAGAGTAATATCCCATGTTCCTGGCTTCTTTCAAATATAGCTTTATGGCTGTCAACACTAACAGCCAAGCCTATATATAATCACCTGCTCAAAGTAGAGCATGAGAAACAAGCAGAAACCTCAACGATAGCGATTCAGATTAAGCCACCTCAGATCTCCCAGGGAATTACAACTGAATTCTTCCCTAGCATTAAAGTGCAGCGCCATAGGCCACATAAATAAATACAAGTAATCACTGACCTTATTGTTAAGAATATTGTGCTAATGATTATGCATAAACATCACTTCTGCACTCCTGCAAGTCAATTAAAGTCAGGCTGTGAGTAATGCCCAAAGCAGCACCTTCCACTTAACTTCTTGCCACTGCTTTGTCTGGGCTCCTTTTAACAAAGCACTAAGATTTTTTAAATGCATTTTTTATTGATGACAACTTCAATCTAAATCAAACAATGTAACGGTGAGACAGGCACAGGTTACTCAACACAAAGGATGCCATTTGAGGACTGAAATCCAGGCATCCACCTCTCTGCCTGCCTAGAATCACTCAAGTCGCTGCCCTCCCAAAACTCACCCGAGTCCACTAGATAACTTTTACATGAGAACAACAACTTTTTGGCTAAGTCTGAAAGAGACTGGTAAAGCTAGAAGCCTACTGGTTTTCTATGATCTTCTGTCATATTACAATTCCATTGGGATCTGTAACACAAAGTCAAAGAATTACATATATCTTAATAGCTGCAGAACTATGGTTAGAACAGGTGATTGTTTTCCTTCCTGCTCTGATTGTCTACGAATAACTCACACAATATACCTCTTTCCAGGATCACCAGCTGCAGTTTCTGGACAGAGCAGCAGCTGGCACACAGAGGTACACCTGCGAACAGGGTGACCTGCTCACTCGTGGCACCTACGACAACTGTAAGGTAGACACCCAGCAAAGGCAGGCTTCCATGTCCCCGACCGTCCCTGTGTTACTGTTTAACCCGCCGACCCGACTCGGTCCGCAGCCCAGCGGGCTGATCGATCTCTCTTCCTGATGTCGCGCCCTTCAGTGATGCAACAGCACCCACAGCGAGGCACGGGAGGGAAACCCTATTTACGCACATTTCCTCACTCCAGCGCACGCCTGGTCGGCGGTCACCTTTCATGCCTTGCTTTCAGATGGAACGAGACAACGTGCTCCCAGGCGTTCAGCAACTTTATTGTCAGCCACCTCGGCGGGCAGCGCTGCAGCGAGCCGATAGAGCTCCCGCTCTCCGGCCGGGGCCCCGCAGCACGCTGCCAGGCAGCCACGCTCACCCCATCCCAGAGCCGCTCCCCGCGCTTCACACCCGCGCACCGTTCCTTCGCGGACCGCAACGGTGGCGGCGCGGCCGTTCCGCTCCACGCCGGGCCGGGCGCGGCGGCCATGGGCGTGGTGTCGGGGCCTCCCGCCGCACCGCGGGGAGGGGGGCACAGCGGCCGGGCCGCAACAACGTGGGGCGCTCGCCGTGCCCGCCGGCAAGCCTCCTCCCCGCCGGGAAGGGGACCCCGAGGCTGTACGGGAGTAACACGGCCGTTAGGGCCCGGCCCGCGGCGGACACGGCCGCGGGGCAACCGCGTTCCCGCCTCCGCCTCCCCCCGCCTAGGCCGCAAAATGGAGCCGGAACCGGGGGGGCACCTCCCCGTCGAGACGGGGGCAGCCGCCGCACCGAGACTTCCCGCCGCCGCCGCCTCGCTTCTCTCCCCGTCCGCCAGCCCGCCCGCCCGCCTCTCTCCCTCCCTCTCTCTCTCTCTCTCTCTCTCTCTCTCTCTCTCTCCCCGCCGCCCGCTCTGCTCCGCTCCGCTCCCCGGCCGCGCGGCCCCGCTCCCTCCGGCCGCACAAAGAGGCGGGCGAGCAGCCGATGGCGGCGGGGCCCGGGGGCTGCTCGCCCCCCACTTCCTGGTCCCCGCGGCGGCAGCGCGGCGGCGGCGCCGGGGCCCGAGGAGGGAGACGGACATTTCATTCGAGCCTGCAGTGGAACCGGTTACCAATCATTGGCCGGAGCCAGGCACAAACCTCCAGTGCGGCCCTGGTTGGCTCCCTCCGCAAATCGGCTGTTTGGTTGGACAGAAAATGGCTGCGAAGGAACCAGTCCCAGCGCGGAGCCCCGCTTCCCGCAGCCGGCCTGCCCTCCCTCCGCGCCGCCTCCCCGCCACGCGCGCCGGCTCTTCCCCTCAGCGCGTTCCCTCCCTCTGCGCTGCCGGCGCGGCCTCCTCGGCCCTGCCCGCCTCCTTTATGGGGACGGAGGCGCCGGACGCAGGGCGGGAGGACGCCCCCGGGAAAAGGGGGTCTCAGCCCTGCGGTGTAGGGCTGCCGTTGCTGCTCTTTGGTTGGTTGTTGGTGGAGGCTCCTCACAGCCTGCCTTGGCTGTCCTACACCTGCCCTTGGCTCGTCGGGTTGAGAGGGAAATAAATCGTGTGTCCCTCATTGACTTTGCTGCCTTCCTCATCGCCCGCGGACTGAGAAAGAATCACAGAATTGTAGGGGTTAGAAGAGACCTCCAGAGATCACCTAGGCCAACCCCCCGCTAAAGCACGTGGGGTTCCACAGGAAAGCATCCAGGCATGTTTGGAGTATCTTCGCAGAAGGGAACTCCACCACTTTTCTGGGCAGCTTTTTCCAGTGCTCTGTCACCCTCACAGTAAAGGAATTCTTCTTCATGTTTGTATGAAGCTTCCAATGTTGCAGTTTGTACCCATTGCCCTTCCTTCTGTCACTGCACAGGGCTGAAATGCTAAGAAAGATGAGGACAGTAAAGAAGGAGGAAGGCCCACTCTTGGTCCCAGCCACGTGCTGGAATAAAACCCGAGGGGAGGGGGTTCTGTGGCTCAGCCTTGCCCCTTCCCTTTGCAGAAGTAAAATCTCACTGCAGACCTGGAAGGATCATTTCCCCTGGTGACACAGCCTGGTGAGCCTGGTTTCCTCTCACCTTCAGGTTTTGTTTTAGTCCTTAAAATACAGGCTGCTGGGTGAAGATGATGGTCTGGCTTCTCCTCTGAGACTTATAAAACTCCCTTGTGAAGAGTTTATATGAAACACTTCATAATCCACCAATCCACCATTTACTGGAACCAGAGAGTGATTTTCTCTCAAGCAGAGCAGCCAGAGACATTCCACACACCTGCTGCCAACAGCGTCTGTGTGCAGCCTCTGCAATGGAAGTAACAGGAATAACTCGGGAGACTTCAGTATTTCACCTAAATACATGAAAATCATGTTTCACAATGGCCTGTGTTAACATTCTTCTTCCAGTTAATACGTAAATATGTTCCTCTACAAGTTTTCTTCTGGTGTTCGAATTTAAACGAAGCAGAACTCATAAACCTTATAAATCTTGCTATTTCCACTTGTTTTCAAATAAGAATGTTAGTTTCTTGTGTTTCGATACATCAGAAAGATTCACACTCAGAATGTCCATGGGTTTGGACTGAGTTTCAAATTTAAATGCAAACATCAAATGAGACAAATTTTGCATGGCCTCGGGTTTTTACTCCAAATGCTATATATCATTCTGCCTCCTGTGTACTGTGAGCAGTAATTAGTTAATTTTTTTTGAAAATGCCTGGAAGATGTAAAGTAATAATAAAGCATTCACTAACTGCAGGGCCTTAGGGAATACATTTCCCTTCTATCCGTCTTGTGTACCGTAAGTATAATACCACGACAATACAGCATTCATCTCGCTCTGCGGTTTCAAGATCTTTCTATGGATTCTCTCATCTCAAACTGGAATTTCACAGGGGAAAGACAAACACTGACATTAATGCTGGTTCTTCAGGGCATAGAGTAGATGGTGCCCTTGGCTTTGAACAGCTCCGCTGACATTTTGATTGAAAATGTGGCCCTCAAATCTTACCACTGTATGTTTTTCAAACTCAAAGCAAAAAATACTGATTGTTTTGCCTGTGATGTTTTTGCTGGCATTTACAACTTCTTGAATTGATTGAAAACTACTTCTCCAATGATTCCAATGATTTTATTGATTTTTTTTTTTTTGGGGGGGGGGAAGGGCAGGATGGTGGGAACAAGTTCTTGCTGTTACTGTTGACAGAAAAGAACTCAGTAGTTAAATATGTCAGCCAGCTGAAGCCAGAAGATCCAAGATGAAGTTACTCTTTACATACCTTTTATCTCGTGTTTTACCATTGGTGACAGCTTCTATCACATCTTTATTGTGCGGACTTCAATTGGCTAAATATCTTACCCATATGCTAAGCACATTTTCAAGCTCCATATATTCTCATGTGTTCTTTCATGCTATATATCCTAAAAATGTACATTTCAGCATACCAGTCTGCCTTTCCCATGTGTACATTATTAGGAGTTTCTTGTGTGAACCTTGTTATATCATAGAATCACAGAATCTTTTGGGTTGGAAGGGACTGTTAAGGTCATCTAGTCCAAATCCCCTGCAGTGACCAGGGACACCTACAGCTAGATCAGGGTGCTCAGAGCCCCTTCAGCCTGATCTTGAGTGTCTTGAGGGATAGGGCGTCCAATGCTTTTCCGGGCAACTTGTGCCAGTGCCTCACCACTGTTATTATGAAAAACTTTTTTCTTATATCCAGCCTAGATCCCCCCTCTTTAGTTGGAAATTATTTCCTCTTTTCCTGTTACAACAGACCCTGCCAAAGAGTCTGTCTGTCCCCTTCTTTCTTACAGCCACCCTTTAGATATTAAAAGGCCATTATCACCTGGTATAATGCTTGCTGCTTTATTATCTAGCTGCTTATCAAATCTCAAATTCCTTATCATGTCTTTTAGCTTTATATTTTCCATAACTGAATGTAATTCCCCTTGTATGCAGTGCATTCCTTTTAATCTGTGGCCAATCTGTTTCTCCTTTTAGATCAGCTCAAATTCTGTCTTCAAAGAAAGAGAAGAAGAATGTTTAAGAGCAGGTGGAGTTAACTGCAGTAAGATGTAAGGGAGAGTTGCCTGAGGTTGTGATCTATACTGTGTGAGGTCGTCATTGGTGTTTGAAATTTCTGCTCTGCTTAGTAGGTGTTAGCTAAGAAAGCTGTCAAAGTGTGATACAGGTGTTACTACAGAACTTTCTTTAAACTGGGATACATCGGTCTGCTCCAGAATGTGCCTAACTTGTGCTCTGGGCTCTGTCACGTGTGTTTGGAACAAGAAAACAGAGTTTTTTAGAGAGATAGCATTATGAGATCCATCAGGCTTCTGGAATTTCTTTTCTTTCTTCACAGTGACCTTTCTAATACTTTCTATCTGCTCTTGTAGATGAGAGCATTCTTATTTGTATCAGAAAATTCTAATTAAAAGAAGATACTTGAACGATACCACTGAGCCTGCCAGTGCTGCATGAAAAAAAGATTAAATATGTCAATGCATGTGAAACAATTGAACGTGGAAATCCAGGAGAAATAATCTACAGGTAATTAACCAAGCGTAGGAGTCTCAGAAGGGGGAGATCAGATGGAACGGATTAAAGTTCAGGACATCTTTCATTTTCCCAAAGCTCTCACATATGTTGAAAAAATTATTTAGCAACTCCAGTGCGACTTGCTTTTAGATTTTGTTGCCCTTTCAACACTTTGAAGGAACTCGGTGCTTAGGTGCCATTCATGGTGTGTGGTCCCACAGATCTGAAAGAGTCCTGAGCAGGGTCTGTATTGTGACAGCACACCTGAGAGGCAGCGCTCTGATAGTAGACAGCTTTGCTATCCCCTTTATGAGGTCTGAAGGAATTCTGAGTGAATTGGTACCCAGCCAAAAGGGTGATGAGCAAAGC